CAGGACATTGTATTTAATAACTGTAGGAAGCTTATAGTAAATTATCCAGGACATTGTATTTAATAACTGTAGAAAGCTTATAGTAAATTATCCAGGACATTGTATTTAATAACTGTAGGAAGCTTATAGTAAATTATCCAGGACATTGTATTTAATAACTGTAGGAAGCTTATAGTAAATTATCCAGGACATTGTATTTAACAACTGTAGAAAGCTTATATGCCGTAAGGATTCTGCTTGAATGAACATTCTGATCAAATTTAGGGTTTGAAATAACTGTCATGGTGCCCCATACAGTGTCTTAACTATATAGAAAGAAGCTATCATATAGTACCGGTATTTGCTAGAAGAAATCAATTTATTAGCACTCCACAAATAAACCTTCTTAAAAACAGTGTTTTATACTATATATTAAATTTTGTTGTCATGCCAGGTCCAAAAAGCGTAGAGGATTGTCAGTAGAACAGAGAGTTCACATAAATGCTTTACGACAAACTGCTGCAGACTTGAAATGCTCCCCAAACACTGTCAAGTACACCCTGGATCGTGAGACCGAGACAGGTAAATTTGAAAATAGGAAAGGAAAAGGCAGAACACCTAAACTCAGTAATACTGATGTTAAGTATCTTCGTTTATTCAGCCTTCGGGACAGAAGGAAGATGCCACTGATATCAAGCATGAGATAAACGATCATGTACCAAATGACAGAAAAGTGTCCAGATCTACCCTATCAAGAAGACTCAACGAGAATGTAATATTTGGTCGTGTAACAGTTAAAAAACCTTCACTTCGATCTCCAAATATTGTCAAGAGACTGAAATTTGCTAAAAAGCACAAAACTTGACTGTTGATAATTGAAAAGGGGTGTTATGGATGGATGAGTCCAACTTTGAAATATTTGGTTCAAAGCGTAGGTTGTACGTCCGGTAGGAGAAAGGTGAATAATACTTACCTCAATGCATAGCACCTACCATGAAGCACGGGGGAGGCAGTGTGATGGTTTGGGGGTTTTTCTGCTGAGGCGACAGGAGATATTTGCAAAATAGATGGAATAATGGACAAGCACCAGTACCATCAGATATTGATTCGTCATGGTATACCCAGTGGTTTGTGTATTAATGGAAAAGGATTATACTACCAAGAAGATAATGACCCCAAACACTCATCCAACCTATTCAGAAATTACTTAGCTAAGAAAGAAGCTGCTGGAGTCATTCAAATAATTCAATGGCCCCCACAGAGCCCCGATCTCAACCCAAATGAGCAAATCTGGGTTTTAATAGATCAAAACTTGACAAATCAAAAGTTACTTCCAAAGAAACTTTATAGGAGTGTATTAGAGACATTTGGAGTAAAATCCCAAAGGACACTTTGATTAAATATGCCTGAAAGACAGTCTGCAGTTATTAAAGCAAAAGGGGGACATACAAAATATCAACTGTTTGCTGAACTCAAGCACTTCCACCGAGTTTCTGTTGTACTAAATATGAAGATTAATAAACATTCGATGTTTAAGCCTGAAGCCTAATTTTTGACTTAGTCCTAACACTGTACATTCGTAGAACAGAATAACTAGTTGTAATTCACGTCCAGTTTTACTAACTTTTGAACGTTAAGTTTGTGCTAAGTAGCCTAATAAATGCTTTCTCTTAATCACATACTGAAAGGAAAATAAGAAAAATAAACAAGGACTGACTATCCCTAATTTTGAACTTATAGACTAAAGAGAAGGTATATAGTCTAAAGCACCTAGCGCAAACTCTTGGCTAACTTTACTCGAATAATCGGATTTGACTGTCATTCTTATAACGGAGCAATGGGATGCGAACCATGGACACTTGGATTCACAGTCTGGCACGCTATAACAACTGTGCTATCCCTTAAAAAATGCAATGACAATAACAAAAGTTACACGAATTTTAATTTTGTAGAAAAACAAATGAAATTAGATTAGGGTTAAAACAACACCTGTTTGTAATTAGATTAGGGTAAAACAAGACCTGTATGTAATTAGATTAGGATTAAAATAACACCTGTATGTAATTAGATTAGGGTTAAAACAACACCTGTATGTAATTAGATTAGGGTAAAACAAGACCCGTGTGTAATTAGATTAGGGTAAAACAACACCTGTATGTAATTAGATTAGGGTAAAACAACACCTGTATGTAATTAGATTAGGATTAAAATAACACCTGTATGTAATTAGATTAGGGTAAAACAACACCTGTATGTAATTAGATTAGGGTAAAACAACACGTGCACACAGAGCAATGACGTTGGAAAGATTTATAGTAACTTTTCTTAATACTAATCCACATTGAATAGTAAGAATTTACTGGTATGTGACGTCCATAGAAAGATATTTGACACTGTACACTAGCAGGTATTTATTTTGTAAAGAAATATAGAACAAAAAATATCTCCCGTAAACTAAGCCGTAATAAAACTACACCTTTATAACTTCAATACAGAAAGAAAAATAGCAGTTAAGAGCTTGAACACGTACCTCGATAGTAGCCCTTCAATCCCATGTTATCAGATTGTAGTGGTGGCCATCGAAGGAATACAGTAAATGAAAACGTAAACAGAAAAGAAAACCAAGTAAAAAAGTGTGTAATTAAGTAACGACCACATTGTTTTATTAGATAGGAAACTAGGGTTACTAACAGCGGTAATAATAACTCCAGTAAATATGTATATATATCAATGAAATAAAAACTACTGTGTACCTGAATTTCGTATTCCAGCATCAGAAGTTAGATTATAATAAACAACAGTATACTAACATCAAACAGCTATGTTATGGCTAATTCTTACCTTCTGATAAATCGCAAGAGATGTTAGCAGTGTTGAAACAGCTGTTGGTCGTTTGAAGGAATAGTCGTATTGGAGAGCTTTCAGTTCTAGGAATTCCATATGTATTTACATAAATATATATATAGATAGATAGATGCAACATATGTCTTACAGATGTTTACGTATTCTCCATGTTAGTCCCAAGCTGTTTTCAGCTGGTTTATTTTTTTTTTATGTTTAATTCGATTTGTAACTCAAATATTTTATGTACTGCATGATGATCGTAGTTTGAACTTCAAAATGGCGAAACTAGTACACAGATATGTAAACTATAAGTTTAGAATTAATTAGTTAACACATAAAAGTTTCAGACGCCTCTTATTCGAAAAACAGAAAGTGTACCAAAATGTCCACTGCAATATTGAACAGTTATATAGTGGCGCCCCTAGTGTCACTTATAGCAAATAACACCGTTTCGTCACTTGGAGGATGGTTTGGCGACAAAAGTTATTTGAATACAGTTTTCAAATTGGACGCATAAACAAGAAATCACGATGACAGCATATAACAGTGTAAGTAGTAGCGGCCCCCCAGTGGCACAGCGATATGTCTGCGGACTTACGACGCTAGAAACCGGGTTTCGATACCCGTGGTGGGCAGGGCCCGGATGGCTCATCGTGTAGCTTTGTGCTTAACTTCAAACAAAACAAGTAGTTGCGCCCCCAGTGCCACTTTCGAAAACCACATGTATACAAAATATTTCACCCTTATCTGTCACAGCCCACCCTGGAGACAGTTACAAAATCCTCAGACTATCCTAACCATCCTATGCGTTGTTTGTTTGATGTAGAGATCTTGGAAGCGACTTCACGTGCTGTTTCATTCAACTCCGCCATGTTGGACATCAAACATTACCTTCTACCAGTCGATATCAATACCAAATTCGGTGAATATCGTCTTTGTCGTTAAGTATAAAACTACACGATGGATTATACGTGATAAACCTTTCCTTATTTACATAACCGACATTATTTCCTGTACCAGATAAGACGAATATAAACTCTTGACGTCCAACATGGCGGAGTAGACTATTTAGCACGTGACTTTTTTTGACGTCAGTGTCAAATGAACGCGGTTGGCTCTGTGGTAGAGCTCAGGATTTCGAAACGGGCGAGCTAGGTTTGAATACATTCCTCCACATTAATATGTGTGTGGGTGTGTGATAAGAGTTACAGTTAATATCTTGCTGTGGATGTCGGTTAGTAGGGTGCTGCTGATTGACTGCCTATCCTCTGTTCAGTTGTTCAAAATACAGAACGGTGGAAGATAGCCTCAGTAGCTTCGCTATAAAGGCCAGATACAAATATATGTCTATGTCACAGCCTAATGTATCGTAACACCGCTACTCGTATTTTAAGTTATAGTTATTTCTAGTCTTGAAAAAAGTTCAAACATACGTAGTAGATTTGGTATAAGGAATTGTAAACTAGTTTAATGTTCGTCTTGAAGGTAGTTGTTCTTTTATATAAATGGGTTAAATACTAAACATGCAAGAAATACATACGTGTTTAAAACTGCTTCCCTTATTAACACCTTAACCATCCTGAACTATATACAAAACCAGCCCTGTAGATAACACATGGTGTTTAACACTGCTTCCCTTATTAACACCTTAACCATCCTGAACTATATA